CAGGGCTGGCTCCCAGCTGGGAGGTTTTTGGGGTCCCTGGGTGGAGGGGGGACCCCCAGCCCCACCGGGGTCCCGCAGCCGAAGGGACGCGCCGGGAGGATGCGGGACGGGACGTGACGTGACGCCTCGCCGCTTCTCCCCAGCACATGTCCTGCCCACGCCACCGGCGCCTTCGTGACCCCGAGGAAACTTGTCGTAACTTTTCTTATCCCACCGCTTCTTCCCATTCCGGGGCCCAGTCTGCCACCCTGCTCCTGCAGGAGGTGCGGCCGGAGGATTTCGGGATTTCGGGAGGGTTTCATCAGGCTGGCGTGGCCGGGGCCGCCACGGGCGGCAAGCAGCCAAGGCCGGGGCTCGCGCGGAGGTTGCGGGACCGAGGCCGTGCCGCCGCCTGCGGCTCCTCCGAGGAAGTTGCGAGGGCTGCCTGCGGCTCCAGTTCCTCCTTTCATTTAAAGGGCAGCTTTGAGCGCACTCGGTGCCTCAAAGTCGGGTTGTGGGTGCCGTCGGGTGTCCTGCCTTTCCCTTGCTCTGCAGCACCCTGGCGAAACGATCGAGGCAGGGGGGTTTTAAGGGCTCCCCGTGGAGCGTAGCAGTCGATGTGATGTTTACCCAAACCCAGCCCGTTGCTGGTTAACCCCACCACTCACTCCCAGCTCCTCCGCTGCCCTCCCGCATCCCCCGCCGCCTCCCCTTGTCCTCTGCTAATAAGGGATCTCCGTGCCGCCGGCTCTGCCGCGGTGGCAGCTCTCTCCAGACAGAGATTAAGGCCGCCCTTGGCAGGCATTGCGGCCACTGGCAGCCCCTGGCTCACCCCAGCTCCTGCCGGTACGTTGGGGTTTGGCCCCAGGGTGTAAACCCACAGCTTTGCAGGATGACGCCGTCCCCGGGAGGACGGGGCCCTGCGCTGGGGACAGGAGGGCTCGTGTGCCGGGGAGGAGGTGGGAAAGCGGCCGCGGGAGCAGCTCCCAGTCCCGCCATGGGGCTTCGCTTCCGTGCAAGTGATGCAGAGATGCTGCCTCCGCGGGATTTCGGTGCCTCTCCGTGGGGACGTGTTGGCGTGGGGGAGCTGGGGGGGACGTGGCCCCTCCAGGCAGAGGAACTGGGGGGACGCGTGGGCTTTAGAGTAATGGTGTAGTAACAGGCGTGCGTGCTTTCGGAGGACGAGGAGGGTTTGTCAGGCTCTTCCTCGCTGTGATGGTTTCTCCCTTGTTTTACAGGGAAATAGCGCAAACTAAGAAAGCAGCGTTTACGCTTCTCTGCCCTCTTTCATGCTCATAAAATGGGATTCTGTGGGCTTAAAAAAAGGGTTTCTAACCCAGGAATTCCTCCCTCCTGGAGTGCAGAAGCCCCTTGCCAAGTTTCAGCCCAAGGCCGTTCTTCTGGCCTCCTTCAAACCCCTCCAAAAGAGACGCTTTGGCTGGCAACGCCGCTCCTGCCAGGGGCTCGGACAAAAAAGCGAGTTAGACCCACGCTCCCAAAAACCAGCCCTCCCCATCCCTCCCCTGCAGATCGCCGGGACCAAACATCAGCCCCTGCTTGCTTTTAACCTCTCCTTTTAGACATTCAAGCAGAAAAATGGGTATTTTTAGGCAGCACGGGCACAGGCAGAGCCCTGGGCGTGCAGGCTCAGAGCTTTTAGCTTAAAAACCCCTGTGGTCGGAGGTTGCCCTCTCGGGGTGCTGGGGTGCAGATCCCCGCGAGGATGCGGGTGCCTGGCACCTCTGGGAGATCGGGTGCTCTCTGGAGCTGAGTTTGGGTTTGGAGCTGGGGGGTTAGGAAAATAAAATATCCATCCCTTGGCCGGGAGGGGGGTTAAAGCCCCCCCTCCCACGTCCTATGGGATGCGGGG